ACTTCTCACTGAGCTGGGCACTGGTAGCTCATGCCTGTAATCCTAGCTGCTCAAGAAGCTGAGATCTAAGAATCAGGCTTTGAGAGAAGCCTACACAGAAAAGTTTGAGACGCTCTTATTTCTAATTAACCAGGAAAAAGCCAGAAGTGGAACTGTGGCTCAAGTGGGACAGTGCTCAGCTTTGAGTGAAAAAAATTAAAAGAGAATGAGAGGCCCTGAGTTCAAACTGTGCCCATAGTTCAAATCCCAGTATTGGCATACACACAAAATAGCCCTAAATATTGTTTATTAAAACAGGTTTATAGCTGGGCACCAGTAGCCACACCTCTAAACCTAGTTATTTAGAAGAGTGAGATTTGAGGATCATGGTTTAAAGCCAGCTCGTGCAGGAAAGCCTGTGAGACCCTTATCTTGAATTAACTACCAAAAAGCCAGAAGTGGAACCATGGTTCAAGTGGTAGAGTGCTAGCCTTGAGCAAAATAAGCTCAGGGTCAGCACCCACATGTTAATCTATTTCTTCTGTGTTTGTGTTTTATACAAATGATAGCACACTGGACACAGTGTTCTGAACCTTGAACAATATTGCTTTCCAAAAGGAGTGTTCTATGTCATTTTTTTCCGTAGCAGCTTTGTAGAGATATGATTCATATACAGTGTCACTTTCAGTGCAGTGGAATGTATAATCATAGAGCTGTGCAAACATCACAATGAATTTCAGAATATTTTCATTGCTCACAGAAGAAACTTCTTAGTTGTTATTCCATTTCTGCCCCCACCTGAGCCTCTAGCGACAGTAATTATGCTTGTATATCTGTTGGTTTGCTTATTCTTGGCATTTCATACAAATGAAATTATATGTTGGGAGCTGTGGCTCATGCCTGTAATCCTAGCTACTTAGGAGTCTGAGAACTGAGGATCACAATTCAAAACCAGCCTGGGCAGGAGAGTCTGTGAGACTCCAATTAACCAGCAAAAAGCCAGACTTACAAGTGTGGCTTCAATGGTAAAGCACCAGCCTTGAATGAAAAAGCTAAGCAGGAGCTCAAGGCCCTAAGTTTAAGCCCCAGTATTAGCACAAAAACAAACAAAATAACCAGAAAATGACAAGTGGAATTATACAAAATATGGTCTTTTCTGTCAGTTTCATAGTCAATAGGCATAATTGTGTTGCTTTGTGTTAAGAGACAGCATATCAACATGTTGTCCAGGCTAGCCCTAAACTCCTGGGAACAAGCAATCCTACCCCAGGATTGCATATCAGACCAGCTTATCCTAGTGTTGATCAGAATTCACTGTATTGTACTGTTTGTTAGTATCCCATTCCTTATTATTGTTCAATTATATTGCATTGCATGAATAGAATACATTTTACTTCTCCATTCATGTGTTGATGGACATTTGGATTCTTTTCTCTTTTTATGTTGCTTTGTAGGTATAAGTAGCTTAAAGAGCAATTTATCAAATATTGTCTTAAAGGAAGTGCGTTTTTTTAAAAAACTGGATTGTTAAATTTTAACCAAGTAGGTTAGGCCTCTTAAAATTCATGGTAAATGCACAGGTACACAAAAGCATGATCTGAACTATGGCGTTCGCAGGGGAGGATTCCAGTGGGGTAACTCCCTGAACAACTAAGTTACAGTCTGGCAAAATGAAAAGCAGGAAGCTAGCTAGTACTTATGGTTTGGGGGTAGGGAGGGTGAGGTCAAGGGAAAGGGAGGAGATGAATGAAGAGAAGTAGGCTAATGCAGTCATAATAGTCAATGTACATAGGTAAAAATGGAACTAGGAGGGGCTGGGAAGGTGGCTCAGTGGTAGAGTGCTTGCCTTGCATGCCTGAGGCCCTGGGTTCGATTCCTCAGCACCACATAAGCAAAAAGAAAAAAGCCGGAAGTGGCGCTGTGGCTCAAGTGGTAGAGCGCTAGTCTTGAGCTGAAGAGCTGAGGGACAGCGCCCAGGCCCAGAGTTCAGGCCCCACAACCGGACCCCCCCCCAAAAAAAATGGAACTAGGAAAAATGAGGAGATGAGTGGGGTTGGGAGAGATAGGAGAGAATGAGGGAAGCCGTGACACTGATCAAGCTACAGTGCACTCATCAACTGCCATGTTGAATGGAAATCTTTTTGTACAACTACTTAAAGATAATATAATAATAATAACAACAACAACAACAATACAGAAATTATAACAAACAAACAAGCTTGGCTGGAATCCAGGAGACTCCAGGTCCTCCTCTCTGTCCATACCCACACACCCATTCATGGGGCCATGAAGCACCTGCCAAGTGCTAGGACCTGAACATACCCAGGGTAGATCTCACTGGTTTCAGGAAAAGTCACAGGGCCTGGGGGTAGGAGGGTGAAGGAAATGTATTTTAGTCAGCATACCACCACAGGTAGCCAAGGTAGCAGAATTTCCTTCCTTTCTTCCTTCCTTTCTTCCTTCTTTCCTTCCTGCCTGCCTGCCTCCCTCCCTTTCTTTCCTTCCCCTTTCCTTCCTTTCCTTTTCCTCCCCTCCCTTTCCCTTCCCTTCCCTCCCCTTTCCTTTCCTTCCCTCCCTTCTCCTTCCCTCCCCTCCCCTTCCTCTTTTTTTTCTTCCTCTTTTTTTTCCTTCCTTTTTGTGCTGATATTAGGGTTCCAACTCAGGGCCTGGCACTGTCCATTAGTCTTTTGTTTGTTTGTTTGTTGGTCGTGGGGCCTTGAATTCTGGGTCTGGACACTGTCCCTCAGCTCTTCAGCTCAAGGCTAGCGCTCTACCACTTGAGCCACAGTGCCACTTCTGGCTTTTTCTGCTTATGTGGTGCTGAGGAATCGAACCCAGGACCTCATGCATGCAAAGCAAGCACTCTACCACTGAGCCACCTTCCCAGCCCTGTCCATTAGTTTTTATTTTCAAGGCTGGCATTCTATTTGAACCACACTTCCACTTCTGGCTTTTCACAGGTTAATTGGAGATGAGTTCTCCCAGCTTTGTCTGCCTGAACTAGATTTGAACCACAATCCTCAGATCTCAGCCTCCTGAGTTGCTAGGATTACAAGTGTGAGCCAGCAGTGCCCAGCCTGAATTCCTTTTCTTACAGTCTAAGATGATGCACTGTAAGAGTTGGTACCGGGTGTGGTACCAACTTTGTTCTCTCATGTCTTTTCCTGTATCCTTGATATAGGAACACTACTTTGTATCAGATTATAACACTTACAACTTCATTCAATCTTAGTTACTCTGTTAGAGTCCTATTGGTAAATATTATACACATTTAGAAGGTAGGATTTCGATATTTAGATTTGGGGCTGGCACAGTTCCATCCATAACAGCATGTAGACACATAGTTTTGGCAGTGTTGTAGAGAAGCCTGTGGTATTATGGAAGTCTGAAGGGAGAAGTTTTGATTGTGTAGAAGGACGCTGGATACTTTTCTACAATTTTCTTTAAGATACATTTTGTGCCAGGCACTGGTGGCTGTAATCCTAGCTATTCAGGTGGCTGAGATATTAGAATCAAGGTTCAAAGCCATTCAGGGCAGGAAATTCCATGAGACTCTGATCTCCAATTAACCACCAGAAAACTGGAAGTGGAGGTGTGGCTCAAAGTGGTAGAACACTAGCCTTGAGTGAAAGAACTCGGGTACAGCACCCAGGCCCTGAGTTCAAGCTCCATGACCAACAAACTAAAGTGTATTTTAGACTCAGCTCTTCATGACCCCCAGCCCTTTTTCCTTAGCCTCTCACAATAGGAAGGATTGTGATTTGAGGTCAGTGCAGGGAAAGGGTTTAGAGATACTATCACAACAGGGGGGAAAAAGCTAGACATGGCAGGAAGCACCTTTCATCTCAAATATGGCAGAAAATGTAAATAGGATTGTGGTCCAGACTAGACCAACGAAAAAGTGAGAGCGTACCTATCAAATAAGAACACATAGGTTTGGGAAAATGACTTAAATGGTAAAGCCTCAAAAGCATTAAACCCAGAGTTCAATATGCAGTACTCCTCCCCCCAAAACACACATAAAGTATCTTGGTAGGAGAATAGAGAGGAAGATCTTGAAGACAAGGAAGGTCTTGAAAAATAAAAGTGTCTTTGTTTCTGTTGCAGAAACTCAATCTCTGACACTGGGTTGTTGAGAAAACGCTGTTTCTAATCCTTCTACTATACTTGTCAAATGGTGGCCACTTTCCAAGCAGTGTATTCTTAGCTAAGCTCAAATTTCATGAATTTGACGAGTTGGAATTTGTGTGGGGTTTAGTATGGCAAGAGGAATCAAGAAAATTGTCATAAATACTTTACTCTCTTAATCTGATTTCTGAGCATGTAGCAGGAATACATTCAGAAGAATAAAAGAAAACATGAAGAAAACAAGAAAGGATGTCAAAATTGTAAAAGTAATGAAAAGCCAAGCGCAACTATATAATTGAAATGTTCAAGAGTATTGTTTTATATGGCTCATAAATCCTATTTTAGCATGTCTTACTAATAAGGGCGATATGTTTATTGCTGGTGTGGTCAGACTTGAATTCTGTCATGGTGACAGCAACTTAGAGGTTTAGAAACAGCTCAGCACTAACAAATAATGACAGACACTTAAACTGAGACACCTCAGAATGGTCACTATTCTCTACTTATTCCAAGGAAAAATAATTTTATTTATTATCTGTCTTTTTTATCTGATGGAAATCTTCAAAAAAAATCCAGAAAAGCACAAAGATGTTAAAAACCACCCAAATATTTGTATCCCGCAGAGATGACTTCTGTCAATGTGTTTCCCTATAGTTTTGCATTCTTTTCTTTTTCTGTGAACATATTTACATATTTACAGTTTTATATCCCAGAGGATTGGAAATGCGCTGAAATTATTTCATAAACTAGTGTTTTCTTTTGGTAGAAAGATGGGTGATAACACATTTTCTTTTAGGCATGTAGTGACAAGGCCTTCTTGAGAGAACTCTTGTCCAGGGGCCTGGAATTGAATCAAACAAATGCACTTACTGCTTTCCCTTCCTCTGCTGTAGAAATTGGTGTGTTAGCCAAAACATTCATTGACCAAGGCAAGCTCATCCCCGATGATGTCATGACTCGCCTGGCCCTTCATGAGCTGAAAAATCTCACCCAATATAACTGGCTGTTGGATGGTAAGTGTGGCCTGCAGAGCTTTTTAACTGCCTGGCAGGAGAATGAGTATTTGGGGGGTGTGGACAGTTGTCAACAATGCAAGCAGGGACCTGAGTTTTGTCCCTTTACCAGGCTCAGGTCTTGGGCCAATCACCTTCTTTTGAGCCTTGTTCTTTATCTCAAAGGAAAGAAGGAATGACTTCTAGGTTCCTTCAGACGTGACTACATCCTTCTCCTACCCTCCCACTTTTGAGACTCTGTGTGTGTGTGTGTGTGTGTGTGTGTGTGTGTGTGTGTGTGTGTTGTGTCTGTGTGCCAATCTTGGGGCTTGAACTATCCCTGAGTTTTTTTTGCTCAAGGTTAGTGCTCTACCACTTGAACTATCTGGCTTTTTGTTCGTCAGTTGGAGATAAGAGTCTCCTACACTTTACTGACTGGGGTGGCTTTGAACTATGATCCTCAGATTTCAGCCTCCTAAGTAGCTAGAATTACAGGCATGAGCCACTGGCACTCAGCTTAGATTATTTTATGATAAGGAAGGATCACCACAAAAGAAGGAAGCCCCAATAGTAACTTAACACTAGTTGTAGGAGCCTTCCTCTACTACCTGTCAGTCATGGCTGAACCCTTAAGAACAACTGTTTTTGTGTTAACAAACATTTCTTAAGTGTTACTTGGTTGATATGAGGGGAACACAAAAGAGATTAAAAATAAATAGGAGTAGCATTTCCTCCAAAATTCAAGTTACAGTGTAACATTCTGGTTTGGAAGTAGATATGCTAGTCTAGTCTTGCTGTTTCTGTTGGCTTCTCTCAAACTCCTATTTCTGCATATTCATGCACAAGCACTCAGTACTGCCCCCACCCTCATCTGCCCGATCACTTGCTTTATTCAAGAAGCTGTACTATTTTCTAATCGCACAAAGGTTCCAAATAGACCCCATTTGTACCAGGAAAGTGAAGGAGAGGATGAATGAAGGGGAATGGTTGGACAGGGTCTAGTTTGCTACTTGGAACTAGTTTCAGGAAGAGGAAACTGATCAGGATTGCCCACAGAAAAGTCAACAGGAAAGAGTTGTTGACCACAGCTGCTGTCAATATTTGCATAAAATCTTGAGGACTCAGTTCTTTAAAAAAAACTTAAATGTATATTTTTTATTATAAAGATATTGTATAGAGGTTACAGTTACATGAGCAAGGTAATGAGTCCATTTCCTATTGAGCATTGTTACCTCCTCTTTTGTTTTTCCCCTACCATCCCTTTTCCCCCCACCTCCCCTACTCACCCCCTACCCTGGAAGTTGTAAAGTTTGTTTTCAACATAGTGTCCTGTACATCTCATTGTTACAATGGGTCATCCTGTATTCTTATTTCAGCATTTTGTTATTTCCCTTCTCCTCCCCAAATTAGAGAAATGTTGATACAAGATGCAGGACACCAGAATCAAATACAGTGACAATAGGGGTTATACCGTGGGGGAAGAACCTACAAAGAAAAACAGAAAAGGGCTGGGAAGGTGGCTCAGTGGTAGAGTGTTTGCCTCGCATGCATGAGGCCCTGGGTTCGATTCCTCAGCACCACATAAGCCAGAAAAAACTGGAAGTGGCGATGTGGCTCAAGTGGTAGGGCACTAGCTTTGAGCTGAATAGCTGAGGGACAGCGCCCAGGCCCAGAGTTCAGGCCCCACGACTGACAAAACAACAACAACAAAAATCTCAGAAGTTCTTAAAAAAAACATTTATGGACAGGCTTTGGTGTGCAGAGACTATGCTAAACACTGGATGCTGTCCGAACCCCATCTTCATATCCATACAATACTGACAGAATGCCTTCTGTGGGCCAAAAGCTGTTTTAGAACCTGAACCTCAGTGTGAGACATAATCCTTGTCTTTGCCTTCTTTTGAGCCTCGTTCTTTATCTCAAAGATGAAGGCCCGTGGTGAAGTAGACCATGGGGGAAAGTGTGGTACAGCCACGCTGTTGACAGCATGGCAGCCAGGAAGCTGAGAAGACACAGGAAGGCCTAGGGACGCAGATGTCTTTTCAAATTGTGTCCCCAGTGGCCTACTTCCTCCAGCCAGGCTCCGCCTTCTAATTAATGTGAGCCAGTCTATCAATGGGTTAATAGAACTCAGATCCTTCGTTATTCAATCATCTACTGATAGAGACCAAACTTTCAACTCATGAATTTTGAGAGACACTTGATATACAGACCATAAGATATCTCTCTCTCTCTCTCACACACACACACACACACACACACACATACACACACACAACACTCTTTACATTGTGCCTTTCCACTGAATTAAACTAGATTTTAACAGACTTGTCTCATGGAAATAAAAGATGCAGAAGCTTCCATTTTGTGTATGTGTCTGTCATATTTTAATCCCTTCTGAGGAACATTTGGGTAGCATCTGGCTTTTCACTGTTTGGAATGATGCTGTAAAAAAAAAAATATCCTTCTGTTTTTCTTGGTAGATGGTATTTTTGACTGATCTTTTCCCCCCCTGGAAGTTTGGTTCTAAGTTTCTGAGTAGAACTAAACTGAAAACTCAGCAGTTACAAGCACAAGTGTGAAGCACAATTTGTGTTCACATCCCAATAGCTTTGGGAGCTAGATAGAGCAAGGTTCTGATTGCCCTTGTTTGCTCATTGGTAAAGGAGGAATAGAACTATTTCTCAGCTATTTTGACAATTGAAAGAAATGATTGTGTGTGTGTGTGTGTGTGTGTGTGTGTGTGTGTGTGTGTGTGTGTGTCTGAGAGGAGAGGGAGACAGAGTTCTAGGGCTTGAACTCAGGGACTCACACTCTCCTGTACTTTTTTTCACTCAAGGCTGAGGCTCCACCATTGGATCCACACCTCTACTTTTGGCTTTTTTGGTGATTAATTGGAGATAAGAATCTCACAAACTTTTCCGCTTGGGCTGGCTTTAGACCTTTAGATCTTTAGATCTCAGCCTCCTGAGTTGTTAGCATTACAGGCATGAGCCACTGACACCAGGGTAGAAATGATCCTTATAAAAATATTTGACACACAGATCCAGGCACGTGGAAAATACTTCCTAGATTTACCTATTATATCCCTTTTATTCTCATTGAATATAGTATAATTAAATTATCAGGGCCACTTCATTGTAAAATTTTTAAATAAATGCTTGTTTGTTATTAAAATTTGGGTCTAAATAAGATTTTTTTAACCAGTTATGGGGCTTGAACTCAGGGCCTGGATGCTGTCCCTGAGTCTCTTTATGCTCAAGGCTAGCACTCTACCACTTCAGCCATAGCGCCACTTCTGGCTTTTTCTGTTTATGTGCTACTGAGGAATTGAACCCAAGGCTTCATGCATGTTAGGCAAGCACTCTACCACTAAGCCACATTCCCAGCCTCTAAATAAGATTTTTATAGATTGAACTCTTCACAAGTATAAGCTTTCTTTGGAATCTGTTTGCCCAACTCTAGATTTCTTGTCATTTTTATCATTATAAAACCTAAACCACAGGAAAAATTTTCTATATGTCAGTGTTAACTGTATATATATATATATATATATATATATATATATATATACACACACACACACATATACATACATGTATATACATATATACTATATACACATATTTACATATATATACACATAGTCATATATACATACATATATGTGAATACATATATATTTATGTATATATTATGTGTATATATGATGTCTATATATACACATGATATATATATTTAGTTCTAATGAATTACATATGTACAGTTATAAACTTTGTCTCTTTCTACTCATTTAAAAATTTCAGGACAATATAGCTTTAGACAACATTGCAAAGTAAAAAACACTGGGGATCAATTTTTTTTTTTTTTTTTGCCAGTAGTGGGTCTTGAACTCAGGATTTGGATGCTGTCCCAGAGCTCTTTTGCTCAAGGCTAACATTCTACCACTTTGAGCCACAGTGCTGCTGCTTCTGATTTTCTGGTGGCTAATTGGAGATAAGAGTCTCACAGACTTTCCTGCCCAGCCTGGGTTTGAACCACGATCCTCAGATCTCAGCCTCCTGATTAGCTACGATTACTAACATGAGGCACTGGAACCTGGCTCAAAATATTATTTTATTTTTTTGTCGGTTGTGGGGCTTGAACTCAGGGCCTGGGTGCTGTCCTTGAGCTTTTCTGCCTAAGGCTAGTGCTCTACCATTTTAAGCCATAGCACCACTTCCACCAACATATTGTTTTAAATTCCCTGGTATACTTGTGTCCCTTTCTGGACTCACCAATCCGCTCTATTTGCCTTTCTCTGTACTGTTGATCCACACTGTTGAGTGTTCTGTATCTGGAATCCTTGTGGCCCTTGCACTCTGGGATTTTCGTGTAGATTCTACCAGTTGAACATTCTGAATCTGAAAATCTCAAATCCAAAAGGCTGCAAAATCCAAAACTTTCTAAGCATTTACTTGACTTCAGATTTAAAAAAAAATATTTTGATTAGGAACCCTCAAGTTGTATGAACTGATTTATCTGTTGTGACTTTTCTTCTGCTTAACTAGTGTTCTGTCATGTTTCCACAAACAGCCTTTGGAGATTATGGGAGCAGTCGATGAGTTCTGGTTTGTGTGTTTGTTTTGTGATAGCATCTCCCTGTGTAACCCAGACTGGCCTCATGCTCATGATCTTCCTGCCTCACTCACCACGAGCTGGCATTATCAGCCCACATCACCAAGCCTGACCTGAATCCAGTCTTGCTCAAAAGCAGGAAAAGGTGTTAAGTCCCAGTTAGATGGCAGGCAGGCAAGACGAATTCTCTGTGACTTGGAGGCTCTGATCTTCATTTTATTCAGGATTTCCAACTGTTTGGCTGAGACCATCTGCATTAGAGAGGGCAAGACACATTAGTCCATCTACTCATGTAAGTTACTTTTACACAAAACCACACTCACATGCATGCACACCCAGAATAGTTGCTTAATTATCTGGGCATTCCATGACCTCGTCACCAAGACAAGGAAAAAATAAAAGTCATAACTCATATACTAGAGTTGTGATCAGCCCATCTGGTGTTATAGTTTGGGATCAGTCTACCCAACATTAATTTGTTCTCCTTTCTCTCTTTCCATCTCCTTTACCTTCTTTCATTGTCTTTCCTCCCCTTACCCTCCCTTTCTTCCTGTTTATTATTTATAAAGGTTTCCCAAGGACCCTTCCACAGGCAGAAGCCTTGGATAAAGCTTATCAAATAGACACAGTGATTAACCTGAATGTGCCTTTTGAGGTGATTAAGCAGCGCCTCACTGCCCGCTGGATTCATCCAGCCAGTGGCCGAGTCTACAACATAGAATTCAACCCTCCCAAAACTGTGGTGAGTAGTTGCAGTGGAACCAGCAGAGAGCAGATGGCTCACCCGGTCTCCTTGCCCTCACAGATTGAAGTTTGGTGAACATGGACTTCTTTTTGAGAAAAACTTCAGAGGGTTTCTATTTTCAGGCTACGTCGTGGCACAGTGACACGTCTAATTCCCTTGGTGTCTCTGCAGCCACAGGGGTTTGCTACGCATTCAGACGCGTTATGTAACGGATTTGTGGACTAGTCACCTCTTGGTATAACTACTTCAAGATGAAGGGAAAAGAAATGAAAACAAGTATCCTATGTGAGCCTGCAATGTCTTTCACAGGCTCCTTGTGTTGAGTCCTTGGTCTCCAGCCGGTGGCTGTATTTTGGGAGATGACAGTTCACCTCTGGAAGGTGGTGGAAACTCATAGGTGGATCCTAGCTAGAGGAAGTAGTCACTGGGGGGGGGGGGGTAATGTCTTTGAAGTTTATACCCGATCCTCGGTCCATCGCTTGCTCTCTGCTTTCTGTCTCCCAGGGGTAAAGAAATTGCTTTGCCACCTGCCCCTGCTGCCCAAGCAATCCTAGACTGGAACCACTGAAACCTTGAGCCAAAATAAACAATTCTGCCCGTGAAGATGTTTTTCACAAGCCAGGCACTGGGGGTCACGCCTGTAATCCTAGCTATTCAGGAGGCTGAGATCTGAGGATTGTGGTTTAAAGCCAGCAGGAGCAGGAGATTCATCTCTAACTAACTACCAGGAAAAAAAAAAAGAAGTGGTTCAAAGTGGTAGAGTACTGGCCTTGGTCAAAAGAGCGCAGGGACAGTGCCTGGGCCTGAGTTCAAGCCCCATGACCGACTGGGGGAAAAAAAAAGGATGTGTTTCTCAGATACTAATCAGGGAAGAGAAAATTAACACATTAAAAGTTTCCTGGGCTGGGAAGGTAGCTCAGTGGTAGAGCGCTTGCCTTGCATGCCTGAGGCCCTGGGTTCAATTCCTCAGCACCACATAAGCAAAAAGAAAAAAGTTGGAAGTGGTGCTGTGGCTCAAGTGGTAGAACACTAGCCTTGAGCTGAAGAGCTGAGGGACAGCGCCCAGGCCCAGAGTTCAGGCCCCATGACTGGACTCCCCCCACCAAAAAATTTTGGATTTCCTATTCCATTATTCTGTGCTAGGGAATGAATGAGTTAAGAGCAGAGACACCGAGAATTGGACACTGGTTGACAGTTAAAATTATTGGTCTGTAGCTGAGTCTTTTTATATATATAAATTATATATCTATATATATTTAGAGACTGTATATAAAAATCATATGTATTTATATATACAAATAAATATATATTTATATTTTATATAGCTATAAATTATATAAAATGATAATGTAAATATAACTGTATACAATATATTTACATATATTTATGTTTACATATACCATATTTCTATATATTTAGAGGCTATGTATCAATATATGTAAATATATGTATGTATTTACATGCATTTTTATTTAGAGGCTGGTTAGAAAACCTTTCTACCAGGAAGTGACTGATACTCTGTGTTAGTCTTTCTGTTACAGTAACATACAAGCAAGTCATAAGGTAAACGGTTTATTTGGACTCAGTTTGGGAGGTTCAACCCATGAGTTAGCCGTTGCTTTGGGGCCTGTGGTAAGGCAGTCTAGCATGGTGGGGGTGGGTGGCAGAGCAAAACCACTCACCTCTGATTGGAGAACCAAAGAATAGAGACAGGAGGCCAGGTCTGGTGGCTTGTACCTGAAATCCTAGCTATTTGAGTGGTAGAGATAGGGAGGAAGCCCAGTTTGCAGCCAGTCCAGGCAAAAAAAGTGAGACTTTCTCTCAACCCACAAGCCAGGAATAGTAACGTGTGCCTGTCATTTCAGCTGTGCAGGAAGTGACAGTAGCAGGACTCTGGTCCAGAATGACCAGAGCAGAAACTGTGATACTCGGCCTAAACAAATAGCTAAAGCAGCAAAGTTGTAAGAGTTGCGGCTCAAGTGATAGAGCACCAGCCTAGAGGCTGTTGAGTTCAAACCCCAGAACCACTGAGAAAGGGACCCTGTAGTCATAATCCCACAGTTCTCTTCAAGGGCACATCCCTAATGACCTAAGACTTTCTACCACCTTCCAATTGCTATGGATGGAGAATCAAACTTTCAACAATACATAGGCTTTGGGGTGAGGCCGGGATTGGGGGTAGGGTGGGGGGGGAGGCAGTCATTCCAAATCTAAACTGTCTGTAATACTTATGGAAACGAGTCTAGGGTCTCCTGGCTCCGTACTGGATGATCTGTTAGGGTTGGATTCTGTTTATTTGGGGTTGGTGCTTGCACATAGAAGATGTTTAAAAAAAGAACCGAACTGCTTATAAAAATACCCTTCAAAGATATATTTGGTAGCAGTCTTGTGACTTCCATGTAGGGCATTGATGATCTGACGGGAGAGCCTCTGATTCAACGGGAGGATGATAAACCAGAGACAGTGGTCAAGAGACTGAAAGCTTATGAAGCCCTAACCGAGCCAGTCCTGGAGTATTACCAGTGAGTATTCTGCCTTTCTGAACTTCTCTTGCATATGATGAATTGCTTGGGTTTACCATACTTGACAGCAAACATGTTGAAAAAAAGAAACCACAGAAAAACCCAACCAGTGCCAATTCCAATTGGTATACTAATAAAGGAAATTAGCTTATGCAATAAGGAAGACCAACAGGTAGCAGGGCTTCAAGATTTTGAGCAGTTCTGTCATTCACGTAGCTTTACCTGCCTTTGTATACTGGCTGTGTCCTCAGGCATCCTGCATGGTTGCAGATATTGCCAGGAAACAGGCTTCCTGTTTCATGAAGGGCCTGAGCAGTAACCTTTTACCTAATGGAGAGAAGGTCCAAGCGTAATGGAACTTACAATAGTTAGAGCCTGCCCTCCTGATCCCTGCACTGATCTGGGAGGGGTTACAATGATTAGCCACACCCAGAGCTGGACAAAGCCAGTCTCACTCTAATGCTGCCAGGTAGTGGAGAGGGGGCTAGACTGAGTCTTGAGGAGGCAAACCCAGTAATGTCCTCCACATGTCTCCACATGTGCCCATGAACTTGCTTTAGCACAGAATCTCAAACGACGACCAACCCTCAGATCATTTATTTGGCTACATAGGCTTTCCAAAGAATTCAAATCATACAACTAACTTGAGGACTATCTATACGGAGTTAATATTTGACTCAGGCTAACAAACCCTTGTTTCCTTACTTACCTCTTCTTCTTCTTTTCTCCTTCTCCTCTTCCTCCTTTTCCTCTTCCTCCTCCTCTGTTGTTGTTGGTTCTGGGGCTTGAATTCAGGGCCTGGGTGCTATCCTTGAGCTTCATTTACTTAAGGCTAGTGAGCACTCTACCACTTGAGCCAGAGCTCCCTTTCTGGTCTTTTGGGGGATGGTTTATTGGAGATAACAGTCTCAAGGACTTTCCTGCCTGGCATGGCTTTGAACTGTGATCCTCAGTTCTCAGCCTCCTGAGTAGATTGGATTATGGGCATGAGCCTCCAGCACCCAGCTTTCAGCTCTTCTTCTAGAGCATGACTGCCTTTCCTTTCCTTTCATTCATTCACTTACTAAATAATGATTCAATAATGACAGTAGTGAGAATCAGAACACCCAAGTTCAATTCCCAACTCACCATTTAATTAGTATGGCCTTTACCTCTTGCTTAACCTCTGCCCATTTTCTCCCATATGAAGTGGAGAAATAGAGGCTTAAAAGTGAGCTAATATGGGTAGTTCTTAGGATTGTGCCTGGCATATAGTAAGCAGTGAATAAATATTGGCTGTGATTATAGTGGTAGTTGTTATTGTAATTGGGATAAGTATACAATAAAATCTGAAGCCAGAGTTCAAACTATTCTAATAGTTATTTCTAGAGAGAGAAATTATACGAGTGTTGGTAATTCACTTTGTGGTTTGTATATAGATTACCAAATAGTGTGATCCTGGGCAAAGTATTTGGCCTTGATGCCATAAATCCTTTATTTATAAAATCAGACATATTAAAGAGAACTGTCAAGGGATTGAAGTGAGAGAAGCTGTGGGAAGGCTCAAAGCCACCTTCATGTCTAACTATCGCCCAGTGAGTGAGCCACACGCCGGTGGCTCAGACCTGTCATCCTAGCTACTCAGGAGGCTGAGATCTGAGAATCATGGTTCAAAGCCAGCTCAGGCAGGAAAGTGAGTGAGACTCTTTATCTCCAGTTAACCACCAGGAAACTAAAAGTGGCACAATGGCTCAAAGTAGTAGAGCACTAGTCTTGAGCCACAACCAACCAAAAAAAGAAAAAAATCACCCAATACACATGATTTGTTGACATTGTGCCAATCCTTGGTGCACACAGGCAGTCAGACCCAGATCCCTCCAGGCTTTATGGAAAATTACCTTCTAGATAGGGGTAAGGCCAAGAGTTGAGTCAGCACTATTTATCATGCAGTGCGATACACTGTTTATATTAATCAGGAACCTAATTTACACTAGCTTTAGCACAAAGGGGGATTTGTAAGTGATAAAACTAAAAAGCTCAAAGGTAATTGGCTGGGTCCAGATAGTGATAAAAATGACTTATTAAACTTCAGTCCCACTTAGCTCCATCTTCCTGTATTGAGGTTGAAGTGGCCTCCCTCTGAGTGGGTTTTCCTCAACATGTCAGTTTACCTCCAAAGGAGTCACGTTTGTCAGCAAAACTCCCAGGGTTCATTCTGATTAGCTCTGATTGTTTTGCCATTGAAGATGCAGGAGAGGAAGAGTCTCACTTGAACTTCATGGACTGAATCTGGTCAGGAAGTTGTTTAGTGAAAAGTATCCAGAATGTATTTTTGCTGAACAGATAATACCATGACTGCCAGGCTATGAACTAGACATAATCCCAGCAGGGGTTAGTGCTGCCTAGAAGGTTGAGGAGAGCTACATTAGTGAATGGCTCGGTGGTAGAGTACTTGCCTAGCACTCATGAGGCCCTAGATTCGATTCCTCAGTACCACCTAAGCAGAAAAAGCGGTGTTGTGGCTCAAGTGGTAGAACGCTAGCCTTGAGCTGAAAAGCTGAGGGACAGCGCCCAGGCCCAGAGTTCAGGCTCCACAACCCACAAAAAACAAACAAACAAAACTTTTTTGGCAGTACTCAGTGTCTCTAGCTGGCTAGCCAGGTGCTCTACCACTTGAGCCACATCCCTTTCCCTTGGTTGGGTCCTTCTCTTAAGAAATGTCCCAGGGGCAGGGAATGTAGTTCAGTGGTAGAGTGCTTGCCTTGCATGCATGAGGCCCTGGGTTCAATTCCTCAGCACCACATAAACAGAAAAAAAAAAAGCCAGAAGTGGCACTGTGGCTCAAGTGGTAGAGCGCTAGCCTTGAGCTGAAGAGCTGAGGGTACCCAGGCCCAGAGTTCAGGCCCCACCACCGGACCCCCGCCCCCCCCCAAATAAAAGAAATGTCCCAGTCATTGTTTCTAGAGTTGTTTTCTACTACTTCTTGCCATTAATTCAAGCTTTTCTTACGAAGTTCTCACACCTAAAACTAAGCTGCATTTGTAAAAAAACAAACAACCCCCCCAAAAAACCTTAGTGATAGCATTGTTACTAAAACATGCCGAGTTATATAACTTCTCAGATGTGGGCCATTTTAGAGTGCGATCAGTTTGTGTTTACAATGATGCTCGTGCTCTTTGGAGGTGGCTCTAGTTTATGACACAGAAATGAAAGTGACAAATGCCCGCTCCAAGTTACAGCTTCAAGGTTGACTGGTTGCTAGAGTTCTAGCCTCAGTTATATACCTCTTGTAACCCTAGCTCAATGCTAAATGATGCCAAGAGGGTAGCTAGTTAACCACTGTTAACTAGTTCTCCTGAAAGCTTCCCTAGCTGCCTGGAGATTTTAGAAGCTGAAGGACTGTTATTAGACAAAGAATGCTGCATTGCATAATTTCTTTCCCCAACAGATATTTCTTATTAAGAAACCAGTGAGTATTATTTAACTGTGGCAAAAGTTATAAGGCACCAGGAAAAGAATCCCTTTATTTCTAGAGAAATCTATGAAAACCTAAGTTGCAAGGTAAGACTGATCCTGTTTTTAGAAAGTTAAAAGTTCTTCAGAGATGTTTCATGCAGCCCTTAAGAGGGACAATTGTACACACACACACACACACAGAGTCAATGCTGTAGCTTGAACTGAGGTCTTTGCACTGTCTTGGTTGGCTTTAGATATAAAACTCGTCCAGTCATCTTTTTTTCCTCCCAGGTTGGCTTTGAATTGCAATCCTCAGATGTCAGTCTCCAGATTACTAGGATTACAGGCATGAGCCACCAGTGCCTGACTTCTTGTGGCCTTTAAGGCATATGGCTAAGCTCAGGAATGTGCATGGGATGGAAAAGCAGGGTTAGGAGGAGTGCAGAATCTCTGGAGGGGTCTGTGTGCCTTGAAAGGCAACCCCAGGATTCCATCCTATTCTTTATCCTATTAACCCAGAAACAGAAAGAAACAGGGCAGGCTTTGGTTGCTGGTCTGGTGACAAGCTACACAAATGTGCCTAGGGAGACATGGAGAGACCTAATAGGCAAAAAACAAAACAAAACGAAAAACAAAAACACAAGCAAACCAATACTTTCTATTGCTCTTCCTGTCAAAATTCAGAAGGATAGAATAGAGGGGAAGAAAATAAACCTAGATTTAAAAATAAAAAAGGAAACAATGAACTAGTAGCTCTTTTTGCAAGATATAAGTAGACATTACATCTTCTTGCAAGATATAAGTAGACAAGTCAAAGTGGGTAAGTCTAGCATCTGACTTCTCCTTCCAATTTGGTGGTTTGGGCTAAGTCATTTTATGAGATAATTTTATCAGTAAAATAAGAATATTTGAGCTTTTGAAAGAACGGAGATGTAAAGCATTTCACACGGGTTTAACACACAGTACATTCTCAACAAATGACCAAGGCTATTATTTTTCAAGGCACATGAATATAAATCCTGAGGCAAAACTAAAAGTAAGAATCTAACATTCCTAATATCAACCAAGAAACCATCAAGAATTAAGAGAATATGCATGCTACTAGAAAATGTAGGTAGACTTTGTAATTAAGGAAGCCTGGGAAAGGCTGGGAAATATTTCCTTGACATAGACACTAATCAAAATTAGTAAACCAGATCCTTGCTAATAGTAAAGAGCTATGCTTATAAGACCCTGTCTATCTTTTTCCTTCCTTCCTTCCTTCTTTCCTTCCTTCCTTTTCCTTTTTGCAGAAAATCTTTACAGAGAAAGAAAAAGCTCATTAGGAAAACTGAGACATGTTCTATAATAATAACATTACTATGCTGTCTTGTTTTTCATCCTTAGGAAAAAAGGGGTATTGGAAACATTTTCTGGAACAGAAACGAATAAGATCTGGCCCTATGTATATGCTTTCCTGCAAACGAAAGTTCCACAAACAAACCAGAAAGCCTCGGTTACTCCCTGAAGAGAAAGGGCTAACTAGGAAGATAACCAGAACCTTCATCTGCATTTAACAGCTCCTTTGCCCAAGCCTCAGCATCTTCTTTGAAAATCATGTTTTACTTCTTCTACTGATCTTTATTCTGGATACTACTGTGGATGTGCCAAATGAGTCAAGTCTTGAAGTTGCCCTTCTGAAACCATCTAGGTTTTAGCCAGTTATCTATTAAGGGTGTGCAATGAAAAAAATGTCAGAGATGTTGACTTTTTAAAAAAAATTAAAAGAATTGTTAGTAATCTTTCTGTTCTCTAAAAGAAGTGGTTGGTAAAATTATGATGTTTTTTTTTTCTAGAAATGTTTTTAAAAACTACATGTCATTTTGAGGGAAAATATCCCATCAGTGGTTTTTAAATGTAAAAAACATGTTTTTCTAGTCCCATGGGGTGGGGTCTTGTGAAACACTATATAATATCGCAGAGAAAAATGCAACTGAACTTATTAGATATGTTGCAGGACTGCTACCTTTCTATTAAGAAACAAAAAAGCAAGCCACATGTTAGACATACTGTTTATTCAGAATTTTCAATTTGCTAAAAAAATCAATTTATATATAAGAAAACATTAATGTAGCATATTTTTTTTCTTGTGAAAATGTGTATCACAGGATACATCAGAAATTGACATTATAAATGTTTAAATGAAAACCAACACGGAATCACTTTTCAGTGGACAATATAATAAGGTCTTAGATTTTCAGTTGTTACTCAGGTTAAGAGATACTTGTCAGGTTTTTTCTTTTTTCTTCCCTCAAACATACAGTCTGCCTTGAGAAACAAGTTATAGTAAAAAGAAAAAAAGGAAAGACTTAGACAAAGCCCATGTTGCTATGTATAAGCTGGTACTTGCTATTATTTACCTCTACCCCCACCCCCTTGGAGACAAGGTCTCACTTTCAGTCCAAGGTGGCCTTGAACTTGTGATCCTCCTGCCTTAGCTTCCTAAATGCTAGATTACAGCAGATGTACCCCAGTACGCCCAACAACTGCCACCCTGTTAAAGGGGAAAAAGCTCTGCTGGTGTTATCTAGCAGTGTTTTGTTTTGTGGTGCTGAGGATCAAAGCCAAGGCCTTGTGCATATTAGGCAAGTGCTCTTATCACTGAGCTACATACTTTTTTTTTCTTTTTCTTTCTTGGGTCAGTCGTGGGGCTTGAATTCTGGGCTTGGGCGCTGTCCCTCAGCTCTTCAGCTCAAGGCGAGTGCTCTACCACTTGAGCCACAGAACCACTTCTAAGCTACATACATTTTGTGTGTGCCAATAATGAGGCTTGAACTCAAGGCCTGGGCACTGTCCCTGAGCATAGTGCCCAAGTCTTTAGCATCCTACCACTTGAGCCACAGCTCTACTTCTGGGCTTTCTGGTGGTTTACTGGAGATAAGAGTCTCACTGACTTTCCTGCTTCAAACTATGATCCTTAGCTCTCAGCCTCCAGAGTAGCAAGGATTATAGGCATAAACCACCAATGTCCAGCTCGCCCCTTGTTTTTGAGACAGGATCTCACTATGTAGCTCAGTCTGGCCTTGATCTCCTTGAGATGCTTCTGTCTCAGCCTCCTGAGGGCTGGGATTATAGGCATGCACCACCACACCCTGAGAATCCATTTTTAAAACCTAAACAATTTTAAGATTCCTTAGTGAGGAAATAAGGTTGCCTTCTTTTGTACTGTGGCCTAGAAGTGTGGTAATATTGAAGGCCAAGGGGAAAACCCAATATATCCACCTATAGCCTCCAGGAGCTATGTGTTCTTCCTTGGTGCTAAATCAAATGAATCCAGCCCTTAGACAAACTATTACAACCTTTAGAAATTTGCAAGCCAGTGGTTTAGGGAGAGCAGAAGGAATATATGAACTTACTTTCCTGTCTTTTGATTTTTTAAAATTCTTTGTTGATCTTTCAAAATAGAACAGATTTTAAAGAATTAAAGTGAATATTCTTTATAACTTTCTTAATGCCTTATGTGCCATCCAAAAACGTTGTGAACTGCCTAAACTTACCATTTATCACTAGGTTAGCCATGTTTTAATTTCTATTAGAACGTAATACAATGAAATGTCAGCACTGTGGCTTCCACTTTGTCAACGGTCCTTCCCAGAGCCCATTCCACTTCACCTTCCCTTCTGTTGTGCCAACAGTCTCGTTGGCTTCATTCTAATAAGCTATCTTAAAACAGTACCTAGGTTGGTTTTATTTATACCTTTATCGCCACCTAGTCTTGTAGTCTGGCTTTTACATCTTTAGGAGACACGGAAAACAAGGGGAGTTGAAGAACATGCTATGAAAACCTGAAATCGGGCTGGGAAGGTGGCTCAGTGGTAGAGCGCTTGCCTTGCATGCCTGAGGCCCTGGGTTCGATTCCTCAGCACCACATAAGCAGGAAAAAAAAGCTGGAAGTGGTTCTGTGGATCAATTGATAGAGTGCTAGCCTTGAGCTGAAGAGCTGAGGGACAGCGCCCAGGCAGAGTGCAGGACCCACGACCGGACCAAAAAAAAACCAAACCAAATAAACCTGCAATCATTCCCTCCCCATCCCCCACTTAACTAAATACATTCATTACTTTGAGAAAGGTATAGGAATTTTCTTGAAAGTTTACAAAAATTTTATTTTAAACAAAGGTTTTAGTATAACAAGGTAAAATATACTAAGGGGAATTCAAGATTCTGGAAAGATCTTGATTTCTCATGGATGGATTCATGAGCATTACAGGCTCAGGCTCACATTTATAATTTAGATACTCAGGAGGCTGAGATCTGAGGAACCAGCCCAGAGGAGAGTCCGCGAGGCTCTTATCTCCAATGAAGCATCAAAAAAGCCAGAACTAAAGATGTGGCTCAAATGGCAGAGTACTAGCCTTGGGTAAAAAAGCTAAGATACAACACCCAGGCCTAAGTTCAAGGCCTAGTATAGTATTAGCACACAAACACAATTAATTTAAAAGTGAGGATTTCTGTGCCACATGGAAATGCCCAGACGGATGCCCTGGCTGGAACTATTGGGCTTTAGTTAAAAACTAATGAGAAGAGTACCTCAAATCACAATTATGCAGATCCTGAACTGGCTGAGATTACTAAATCCAAACACATAGCCACCTCAGCCATGTAATGTATATGTGTAAATATGAACATGTGTTTATACATATGCCATTGTGTGTGTATATACATATATATATATATATACACATATATACACACACAATGGTATTCCAGCAAAATATTTTGGAACCTAGAACAAAACAATAAAGCAGTATAATTACAGACCTTGTATTTATGCTACATTGCTACTCTAGTTGTAACCAATGGCAACAGCAATAACAACTTTAAACGTATTGATAAATTGTCTTTTCATTGACCAAAAAAACCCCCCACTGATTTTAAAAAACTGTGGAAAAAGCTTTCAGATTTTTTTTATAAGTTATCATTTTAAAAAAGTTTTTAAGACTTTAAATACTTCAGCTGTGCACAAAAGCTCTGGTAAAAATCAGTATATAGTCTCAAACCCATACTTTTTTTTTTAAGCAAATTATGAGTTTTTCCATTTTCTAGCGGAGTGAAGTTCAAGTGTCATGTCAAAGTGTCAAGCTAGTGTTGTCTTGTTTCTCCCAAGCATTACAAGTTAGGTTTGGAAGAGTAACCAGCATAAAGAGTAACATCATGGTCATTGTTGAAGGAAACCAAGTGAAAGCTGTGGGAAGTTTTAAAATCACTTTCACTTATGGCTGGCATTCTACCATTTGAGCCACAAATTAAAGTCATTTTCTATAATTAAGACTACACTTCAAATGTCACTCAGTATTTTGCAGCTTCATTATTCAATAGTAAGCAAGTCATAAATCTTTATTCATCTTTCTCTCTCCCATCCACTAACTTACATCATAAGCAACAAACACTTGTTAGATGAACTTGTTGGAAGACCTCTGCATGTCAACTAGATGGGAAGAGATGCACAAGAAATAGTTACTAAAGCATGTATGGCAAAAGTGACTCAACACAGACAACTACCATTTCTGTGCCAGACCAACTTAAGAACTGAAATACGGAAGTTACAATTTTTCTGAAAATAGACCAAAGTTAACTTAAGGATGAGTCACTTTGCCTAAACTTAAAATCAATTTTTTTTGGGGGGGGATGGGGGATCAGTCACGGGGCTTGAACTCAGGGCCTGCTGTCCCTGAGTCTCTTTGTGCTCAAGGCTAGTAGTCCTCTACCACTTTGAGCCACAGCACCACTTCCGGTCTCCTGGTGGTTAACTGGAAATAAAAGTCTCATGGACATTCCTAGCCTAGGCTCTGAGGAGTTAGGATTACAGGCCTGAGCCACCAGTGCCCAGCTTACACTCCACTGTTTTATCTGATAAGAAAATCTACATATTAAAACAGATGCCTGTGGTTTAGATAGCTTGGTAGTTCACTTTTAAAGGATAATAGAAATGTTATCTGGGGGCTGGGAAGGTGGCTCAGTGGTAGAGCGCTTGCCTTGCATGCATGAGGCCCTGGGTTCGATTCCTCAGCACCACATAAGCAAAAAAGAAAAAAAGCTGGAAGTGGTGCTGTGGCTCAAGTGGTAGAGCGCTAGCCTTGAGCTGAAGAGCTGAGGGACAGTGCCCAGGCCCAGAGTTCAGGCCCTACAACTGGACCCCCCTTCCCCCGCAGAAAAAAAATGGTTATCTGAAAAAGAGAAAGCTGAAGAAGCTAAGAAAATAGCTCACTAGACAACATTTGAAAGAACTATTAAATGCTCTTCATCTTCTTAATAGTATTTTTAATCAGCATTAATCTCTATCACCCTTAACAGCATGATAACTGAATTAACATTCTAAATGGGGTAATAGCTATTTCACTTTAAAAAAATCTTATAAGATGAATTTTATCAAGTAAAACAAGTATCTTTGCTGAATGAAAAATCTTTGCTATTAAAAATATTCATCAGGTTGAACTTTCCATGGTTTCTTTTGTCGAGAAATTTTGTAAATTGAAATATAAGAGAACCACTTGCTCAGTCTACTCTTTAAAAAAATAGGATTTCTTTTTAAAACAGGAGTGATCTCTCAAGCCCAAATGGGCACTTTTAGAATAAAGAAAAATAAGAATGTCAATTTATTGCCCTAAAGTACTGCTAATTGTGTAAAAATTATAGTGTAAAGGTGCAAATGCAAATATGGCATTACTCAGTCATTCTCCAAACAAACCCAATCACACTTTCACACATTTGAAACATGAAACACTTCCTTTTAAAGTGAAAATAAGTTATCTTAAATTCTGAAGAGCAGTTTTTGTATCTTAAAAAACAAAAACCTTAATTTAGGAACTGTGTATCATTGTTTGCCAGAACTTTTTCTCATGCTGGTCTTCAGCCAGTACTAACTCAAAAACAAAATGAGTATCAAGAAAGCAATGTAGATGATCACAGGTAAGACCTATGAAAAAATAAAGTTAAAGGCATAGAAAGCAAAGGTTCAAGTCACATTTCTGTGAAACCAGGGATTTTGTTCTTTTGCTCATTCTCACCATGTAGTTCACAGGGTAAAAGGAGAGTGGTCCAGAATGAAGGGGTGGGGGGGCGCAGGATGGGGAGGGAAGGAGGGTAAAGAAAAAACAATGACTAGGTCACTGGTTAAAAACAAATTGCAGGCTGATGAATACTATGATATAAATTAGTCAAACATTTTATTATAGAGTATATATATTTATATCAAAAGCACAACAAAGACTTTTATTCTGAAAACCAAGAAGATTGCAACATTACAGAAGCATGATTCCATAATTCCAGTCCATTTCTACAGATAGCTATTAAGTGCCTAATCACCTCCGTGAAAACAAGGATGAGGCCAAGGTCACAGGTGTGAGCCCCCTGTGGGTTGCTCAGCTTTACCTGGGTTCTCAAATTGGGCATGTATTCCCAGTTACAGTAAGCCATCTTCCAAATGTTTGCTACTATTCTCAATGGGTACTGAGGCAAAGACTACACCCCAAAACAATCAAAGCTCATATTCTTGTGAATCAGATTAATCCTCAAATAATAAGGATTGCATAATTAGCACTGTCATCTAATTCTAAGTAAGATGAATCATCAAAGATCTGGGTATGTCTGTAGTAAATTATACAGGAAGCAATAAAGCTCAGGGACATTCTATGGTAACTGAGCTAAGGAAAAAATAACAGATAGTAAAAACCATCAACCGTCATTACTAGGAAGGGTCACCATCCAATTCTTAGAAATGAGTCGTTGCTCATGGCAGTTGGTTCTACCAGACATCTCAAGGCTATAGTAGAGTGAAACGTACAATAACCATAATTTTAAAAATCACATTATTTTTCCTGTTTGTTCTTACAGGCCATTAGGACTCTTTTCAAACTTACTCCCTGAGAGATCCCAGACTATGTCAAGTAATTAAAAATGAGCTTGAAGTTTATCTTGTTAAAAACAAACAAAAAAACCCAACAACAAAACTATGGGCTCATCAGTGTTTTTTTAATCACTAACTTTAAAAAGTCAACATGGAAAGATAAACTTCTAAAGAATAGTTTTAAGAATATTTGGGGGAGGGGGTTAAATGTATTTTTTTAAATCAAATTGTTGTATTCTCCAAGTTTCTTTAAAAGTCAAGGATTTAACTGATGGTGCCGAAAATATAAATGCAATTTAAGAAGAAAGACTTAAAGTTTATGCTACCCAGATTATTGAGTAAAGTAGATTACCAACTACTGATTTATTGCTTTTAATATGCTGAAACACCAGATTTGACAGCTAAACTTAGCAGTGGGATACAAATGTGTTTTTTCTGTTTTTGTAGAGCAGGGCATATGCATATCCATATAAAAAGGACTATGAAGCAGATGCCTCCTCAAATCAACCAGTTCTTGTAAACATTGCGCTTGTGCAGATTTTTCATACTTTGATTCCAAAATTGCTAATAATTAAAGGCAACTTAGTAGCGGGGGAGAACAGTCCAGTTTGACTTCCTGCAACATATAGTACCACTCCTCCCTTCAGAAACAAAACAAAACAAAAAACCTAGCAGCACATAAAAAAAAGTTACAAAACATTTCAGTACTTTTTTCCCTCGCATCAAAAACCGAACAAAAATAAAGTGCAGCACCCATAAAAGTGTCAAGAAAATAGCCAAGTTCTTCCTTTCTTGTAACAAAATAGCACTTGGCCTCAGCAGTCTTAAGGAAATTATACAGTGTCCATCATTTTAGGTTCCTCATCTTCTTTATGTACCACTGAGTTTAAACTGCAAAGAGCTGTATTGATAGAATACTGAAGAGAATCTGGATTCTGGGGAGAAAGGAAAAGGTAGTAGATAAAGAACACGTGATAACCAGTTTTATGCCAGCACATGTAAGACGCACTTGGCTCCATTCTCTGTTTCTCTATGGCACAGCAGATTAGAAAAGAAGATGAACTTTGAAGTAAGACTTTGGTTGAAACCCAAAATACTGAAATGAATATTTAGCAAAAAACCCTAAATATTCTGTTACATTATCCTGCTCCAAAAAGCAGTATTAAGAACTTTTCTGACACTTCAGGCCAAATTCAGAACAGAACTCACAATTATTCTGTTATGACTGGGCTCCATTTTTCTGTGGCAAACTTACAAGTTCTAAGAGCTGGTTGAGACGATTCTCTACAACTCACTCACCCACCAGTGTCATGGACACATTTGAATAGCAAAAGGCAATCAATATCCCTAAGTGATTAAATTATTGACTGTTCCATATTCATCCAGTCCATTCCTTTACCCTCTTCCCATTTTCCCTCCTTCCCTCTCCCTCTCAGCTTTTTTTTTTTTTTCCCAAGTAAAGTCTCATAATTTACACAGAGCTGGCCTTAGACTTTGATCCTCCTACCTAAGCCTAAGGTGTCCCACAGGATGACATAGAACTAAAGGCTCTATTTTTGTTGTTGTTGGTCCTGGTGCTTGAACTAAAGAGCCAGGGGCCCTGTCCTGAACCATTTGGCTCAAGGCTAGTGCTCTACCACCTTCAGCTACAGCACCACTTCCAGTTCTGGTACTTAACTAGAGATAATAGTCTCAGGCATGGTCCTCCCCAGCTGTCTTCAAACCACGACCTTCAGATCTCAGCTTGAGTAGCTAGGATTATACAAATGAGCCCCCAGCCTCTGGCTCTGGGCTCTAAATGCTTTATTTTTTTATGTAAGAATATTGAAGATGATGACATGTTTTACATTTAAGAAGAATAGTCCAAACTGGGCACTGGTGGCTCACACCTATAATCCTATCTACTCAGGAGGCTGAGATCTGAGTTGTGGTTTGAAGCCAGCCCAGGCAGAGAAGTCCCCAGGAAAACTCTTAACTTCAATTAAGCACTCAAACACCAAAAGTGGAACTGTGGTTCGAGTGGTAGAGTGCTAGCCTTGAGCACAAAGAGGTTCAGGGACAGGGCCCAGGTAGTTCAAGTCCCACAACTGACACAGAGAGAGAGAGAGAGAGAGAGAGAGAGGGAGGGAGAGGGAGAGGGAGAGAGAGAAAGGGAGAGAGGGAAAGAAGGGGAAAGGAGAGGGAGGGAGGGGGGAGAGGGGAGGAGGAGGGAGGGGGGAGGATGGGGGAAGAGAGAGAGAGAGATCCAAAAGAACAAAAACATGGGCTGAGAAGGTAGCTCAGTGGTAGAGTGCTTGCCTTGCATGCATGAAGCCCTGGGTTCAATTCCTCAGCAACACAAACAGAAAAAGCCGGAAGCAGCACTGTGGCTCAAGCGCTAGAACGCTAGCCTTGAAGTTCAGGCCCCACAATCGACAAAAAAAAAGAAAAAGAACAAAATGTGAACTATTATTTATAAAATATTTATTTTTCCAACTTACCTGTGGTAAGGATTCTATAGATCCAACACAAGACTGGAGAACATGATTCTGAACTGTCATAGGTTGAAAACTTTCTGATTGAGGATGTCTTACTCTTGACTTGAAAGCTTCAAGCTCATTTTTGAATGCTTCAAAGTATCCTTCTTCCTCTGCCTACAATATACAGAACAACAACTGTCACAACTTTCAGACTACACAGTTAATTCTAAAGAACACACACTGGAACTGGACAAAGACAAGGTAAACAGTTAAGAGAGACATGATATAGACACTGCCATGATTTCTATCAGATGTGTATCACTTGGCTTTTGTTGCTGTGGTTTTACTCTACTACTGAGCTACACACTTGATTCTGAAAACAACTTGTTCTATGTATCAATATTAATGACTGGTTTGTTCCATTTTTTTCTGCTTCAGTGAAACAAACAACGCTTCCCTATGCATGCACACAAGTATGACAAAACAAATATAGGTTTTATCAGTGTGTCCTTGTTTTATCTGGATCCTTCATGGAATTAAAAAAAAAAAAAAGCCTTTCACCTCTCCACTGCTAAACAAGGGATATTCTTATAATAGCTCTTTCAATTAATGAGACAATATTACCTAATAGTTTCTACTAGTTTGAAAATCAAAGAAAATTAACATTCAGCTTCACTCTAGGAACATCTTAATATTTCACTTAAGCAAGTATCTACTTTTCAACATGATGGAAAGAAAAAAGTATGATTTAGATTTGGTGGAAGGGAATTTGTAGGCATCCAATGATTTATAAGTAGAACTCTTAATAAACAGGACACCCTATTGGCAATAGCCTCCATTTATATTTCCTTTGCAAATAAAGAAATGCCAATGTTTTAAATTCAAGTGGTAGACAGTCATATGGGAGTTTAGAACGTGGTTAAACCCATTGATTAGCCTCAAAATCTATATGTATCATTGCCTATTACGTAACCTAAGCAGTAGTCTGTGTTGCCGCCCTACGGTTAGGAATTTAGGAAGCATTTCCTTGATTATATTTTAGCATCTTTATTAATTGATAGTACGAGTCTGAACACAAGAGAAGCTGGCCCTCACATCTAAACATAAACTTTCTGAAAATCAAGCAACACAACTGTGACTTAACTGCAAACTTAGGCCAAGAGGTTTAAATAACTGGATTTTATTAGTAATGTAGTGCTACTTGCTTAATTTCTGTAAGCCAATTTCCTCACCTACAAAATAACTGACGCAAATCCTCATGAAACATCAAAAGGACTCAATAAGTTAATCTATATAATGTGCTGACACAAACAATGCCTAACACAGAGCACCTTGTGAATAGTATTGCTTAGCTTTTTTTAGTTATTAAGAACACTGTTGACTAAAGGGTTTTGTGCCTCTTAGTTCTATTTTGTCAAAGTAAATCTGAAAGTATAGGTTAGCCATGGTCCATCATCTTATGAAATAACAGTCTAAACACAACCATTAATATACGATGAAAAAGAAAGTATAGTTTACTGTTTCTCTGTGTCAAGTAAAACTTTAGACCAGTTAATATACTCTTAGTTAGGATGCCAGCTTAATTATTTCCTCATTTAAACTACTATGTGAAAAAAGAAAAAAACCTCCATTATTTTAGGAAATTTTCCTATTTCCTACTTCAGAAGAGTTCAGGACTATGTGGTAATATTGCTACCACCTTGATCATTTTTTTACATTTAAAAACAGAATTATGATGCTAGGCACTGGTGGCTCACCAAAAAAAATCCTCAAATCTAAGATTATAGGCATAAGCCATAGGCATGCAGCTATAAATTATATACGTACACACATATATATGCATACACATATATATACATGTATATGTATGAATATGTGTATATATAGCCCTAACCTCCAAAAATGTACTGAGTTTGCCCTCAGGGTAAACTTTCTCCCTCATTTCTCCTCTCTTGCTCTCCCCTCCCACCTCACCCTCTAGTCTCTCTTTTTCTTCTTTGTTTGTGTGTGTAGGTACTGGGGCTTGAGCTCAGGGCCTGGACTCTGTCCCTGGACACTCTATCACCTAAGCTATACCTCTACTTCTGCCTTTCTTCTGGTTGAAGCGTTTCATGGACTTTACTGCCTAGGCTGGCTTCAAACTGTATCATCTGTCTGTCTCTGCCTCTCTCCTTTCCTTTCCTCCCCTTCTTCTTTCTCTCTCATTTCTTTCTTCCTTCTTTTATATTCTTTTTTGTGCCAGTCAGTCCTGGAGCTTGAGTTCAGGGCCTGAGGCTAGAGCTCTACCACTTGAGCCACAGCCCTACTTTCAACTTTTTGATGGTTCAATGGAAATTTGGTAGTTAAACAGAAGACTCTCATGGACTTTGCTGCCTAGGCTTGCTTCAAACCACAGTTCTCAGATCTCAGCCTCCTGAGTAACTAAGATTACAGGCGTGACCTATAGGGTCTCAGCTTTTTATCTGCTGGTACCAAAGTTTAAATTCAGGGCCTTATGTTTGATCAGCTTGTAAACCAATTCTTGCTCAGTTGGCACTCTCCCACTTGAGCCATGCCTCTAGTTTGCTTTCTGTTGGTTATCTTTTAGATACAGTCTCTTGAACTTTTTGGCTCAAGCTGGCTTCTAACCAAGATTCTCTGATCTCAGTCTTCTAAATAGCAAAGTTATAGAAATCAGCCTTTTAGCTTCCTTGTACAGAATATCAAAGCTGAGCTATGGCCTAACCTTCCCGTGTAATAGTATCAAGTGACTACTTACTTTGGCTTTCTGGAAAAACAAACGAAAACACCCTCTTGGATCCACATTACAGTTTTTGGCCATTTCCATAATAAACTGCATTACAACAGCTTGATGGGCTATTTGTTCCATTAGAGCCCCTTTCTGAAAGTAAATACATTAAAGTTACAAGAAATAGATATATGTAAATTTTGATTTTACCCTCTTTACTTATTAAGTCAACTATATGGACTCATAAAAAAATTTTGTTTCTAAAAAAAAAATTTTGTTTCTATTTTTATGTGAATCAGAAAAGGTAATGGGGAAATCATGCTATTAGAGTGATTTAATACTGTGATTGTTACTACTTGGGATTTTATTAATTATGGTTCTGGTGTTTGAACTCGGGGCCATGCGCTTGCTAGGCAAGTGCTCTACCACTTGAGCCACACCTGCAGCCCACATTTTGAGGACATATGTGTGTTTGTGTTTGTGTGTGTGTGTGAGAGAGAGAGAGAGAGGGAGAGGGGGAGAGAGGGAGAGAGGGAGAGAGGGAGAGAGAGAGAGAGAGAGAGAGAGAGAGAGAGAGAGAGAGAGAGAGAGAGAGAGAGAGAGAATATACTTTGGGGCTTGAATTCAGGATCTGGGAGCTATCCCTGAACTTTTTTACTCATGGCTAGCACTCTACCACTTGAGCTATAGCTCTATTTCAACATTTTTGGTGATTAATCAGAGATAAGGGTTTCACAGACTTTGCAGCCTGGGCTGACTTTGAACCACAATCTTCGGATCTCAGCCTCCTGAGTAGTTAGGATTACAGGAGTGAGCCACTGGGGCCCAGCTCATTTTTTGTATTTTTAAAACATGACTGTCTAGTATAAAAAAGAAAAAAGGATTATAGTATATGAGAATTCATGAAATAGAAAAAAAGTACATTAGAAAATTCTCAATATGCTACCTGAAAAACTAAAAATGTCACCACCTTAAACAAGTGTGAAAACTACACATAAATACATACATATATATCTATATCTACATATATATCTATATCTACATATACATATATAGACATATATCTTCTTGCTTTCAAAGTAAATAATGCAAAACAAAAACAATATGCAAAATGCTAAGTTTTCCCAGAAACTTAAAAGTTTATACAATACCTGCTCAGCTTCTAGATGAAAACACCATAAAATAAGATATTTAGCAGTTTCTTCACATACAAGGTATGGATTATCAGACAAAAATCTCTGACTATCATCCCATCGACTCAACATACCTATAAAATAATGAGTTACATCATGAATGTCAAATGCTTTCCGCCTTCCTATAAGGGAGGAAAATGGTATTTTTAAATGATTCTCTTTAAAGTCAATTCATAGTACTAGAATGGAAATAACTTCTAAAGTTTACAGAAACTTCCATTTCATTTCATTTCAGATAATTAGGCTAAAATTGAATGGCCAGTTTAAGCCAAAAAAAGTCTTACACCAGGGAATGCCTAGAGACTTGTCCTTAGGCTACAAGTGAGTATAGATGATTTCAAAAGACTATAAATACTATTTACTCAGAGAACAAAAGTTTTTCCTTTAGAAAGGTAGAAAAAAAAGCAAAACTCAATAAATTGCACTTGGCAAACAAGACAAACTACAATACCCAGGAAATTCAGTTATATCTAAGTTATTAAAGGTGTCTAAGATACAGTAAATGTTAACATTTACCAATTCAGGTAAATTAATATTTGGGAAACAAATTAAGACAGGATTAACATAGTAAATGTACTTTAACCATTTCAATCATGTTGTATATTACTTTAAAAATTAGTTTAACATACTTGAATTGCTACCATTATGTCTCAAGATGTTAAATACATATGAATAGTATGTTGATTATTAATATACTTGGTCAAAGTCAATATGATCAAATAATCATGGAACTTAAGTGTTGTACTTCTAAGTTTGTCTATTAAGTTTTATACTTAAATTCAATATAACAATGTTAACAGCTATAGATTTAGATTCACCATGGAAGTTGGGATGTTACTAAATCAACATGGAAAGTTCATAGAGCTATCTTGATAGTTTGACAGTAAACCTTTCCTACTGATACATAATAATTGTTTATATATTAAAATGTACTTGAGAACACAAGAACAAAACCAAAGATAAATATTTTACTGAAATATTGTTAGCAGTATATGGAAATTAGTACACAATACACTATTAACTTTTCCTTACTTAAAAAAAATCCCGGGGCTCAATATCTCAGACTTAAAAAAAAAAGATGGGTGGGTGGTGGGGTAGGAAAGGAGTAAAAAAGACTTCATCATTCTAAGAGTTTTTTCTTTTGTTGTTGCTTCTTTGGGGTGGGGAGAGGGGGTTGGGCTCACTATATAATCCAGCCTTGATCATCAAATCCTCCTGCCTCTGTCTCTTGGCTGGTCTAAATATTTTATAAATTTTATAATTATTTCTCCAACACCTTGGTGACAATGATTAGATCATTTCAGATACTGCTTATAGAAATGACTATAGAGGGGTTGGGAAGGTGGCTCAGTGGTAGAGCGCTTGCCCTGCATGCATGAGGCCCTGGGTTCGATTCCTCAGCACCACATAAGCAAAAAGAAAAAAAGCCAGAAGTGGTGCTGTGGCTCAAGTGGTAGAGCGCTAGCCTTGAGCTGAAGAGCTGAGAGACAGTGCCCAGGCCCCACGACCGGACCCCCCGCCCCCCCAAAAGAAATGACTATAGAAATTCTTATAAAAATGATTATAAAAGGTTACTTCAAACTACTTCTCAGAAAATAGTTAATAAATCCTGGAAATCACAGTGAATGAAAGCATATCTTTATTTCTTATACTCAAGCCATAAAATAAGTACTATGAAGCAGTTTTGCCTTAGCATTCTAACATTGCTGATGGGGTAATATTTTCATCTACCATCTACCACGAAGTAGCCACTTCAATATGGCAGCATCCTGACTTACTGAATTACCCAAATCATGTAGTATTTTGTTTTCTAAGTGAAGTGCCACTAGGGTGTTATTACATGTTCAAATTTCAACTATTTAAAACCTGAGATATAATTAGCACTTGAGATTGAATACAGATTTTCTGTAGCTTAATAATATTTGTCATCACTTGATTTAAAAAATAGATCTGATGTTATTTTGACGTTTGTAAACAGTTATACAATCTATCCTAATGGCTGGGAAAGCAGACTAAAGAGCTAAGCTGCCTAGGTTTGAACATTAGCTGTACCTGGGACAAAATCCCTTCTTAGGCCTCCCTTTCCTCAGGTATAGAATAAAGTTAAAAACAGTATCTAACTCACAGGAGTTTTGTGAGATTAAGTAATATCAATGCTTGTAAGAATTCACTGACAAAATATTCTGATTATATGTTTTAAATTATATATGTCTCTCCGTAGTGAACATCTAAATTTCAATCCATCCATCAACTATTCACATTCCATTTGATTCCTAAAAGTGCTCCCAAATACACATGATTACTGAGTCCCCTCCGTTTCTACATCACACTTACATAGAGTGATAGTTTAACACGTTGCAGTATTCCTATTCTGGCTCAATCTCCCTCCCTCCCGCTCCTCCCTTCTCTCCCCCAGCTCAATCAACCTCCATCCCCTTCCCTCTACCCCAGGCCCCCCTGTCTCCCGAGTCCTGGGGCTTAGGTGCTGTCCCTGAGATTGTTTTGCTAGTAGGCTAGTTCTCTACTACTTGAGCCACAGTTCTACTTCTGGCTTTTTAGTGGCTAACTAGAGTTAAAGAGCCTCACAGATTTTCCTGAGCTGGCTTTGAACCACAATCCTCAGATCTCAGTCTCTTGAATAACTAGGATTATAGGCATGAGCTATCAGAATCTGGCAATAATAAATATTCAATGTTAAGTCATCCTATAATTTGTAAGATAAATCCATAAAAAATTTAGATTATTAAAAAGCAAGTATATTTACTGTGAAGAATTGAAAAGTTCAAAAATAAACAAAATTGCCTATAATTTATTACAAAAAATTACTGTTAACATTAGATATATTTCCTCCCAAGCTTATTTTTAAATAACTTTATAAATAAAGTTTAGTATACACTGATTGTACAAGATGGCTTTTACTGTGATATTTCCACACATGCATACAATTATCTCTAAGTTACTTTGAAAGAAATGAAACTGGGGGGGGGGTGCGGGGGCGGGGGGAGATGGGAGGGCAGGGATGGTAAGGGGAAACAGAGGAGGAGGCAACAATGCTTGATAAGAAATGTACTCATTACCTTGCTCATGTAATTGTAACCCCTCTGTACAGTATTTTCACAATAAAAAAACTTATTAATAATAGAAAATAAAGAAATGAAACTAAAATCATATTACGTAATTTTCTGTTCATTTCACTTCATACTGTACATTATATAGTAAATATTTTTCAAAAATACATGTTTTTAGAAGCAAAACTAAGTGATTACAATAAAAGAGGTTGTAAATATTCACCTTCAGCACCAACAGGGAAAAAAATCCTATTACATTTTTGTGCACATATATATAGCCTTGATGACATTTCCAGTGACATCATTCTACAGATTCCAAAACTGCTGAATCACATCTAACTCTAGCTAGAAGGGCAAAATAACATGCTCTGAAAAACTGCTTAGGATGATTCAAAAAGCAGCTCTGGCAATCACAAAGCCAGTGATGGTATAAACATAATTTTGAATTAAACTGTTTTGTAAATTTTAAAAGTAAATAGGATTTATGTCTAAAGTAGCATTTTATACTTATGAAGTGTGAGTCAACTAAATTAACAAATTAAATGCAAATGTAGGAAATACAGTCAGATTTCAATACTTCATAATACTCCACAGTACAAATTGGACCATCTTAGAATGTACTTTTTTATAATTATAAGAGTAAAAGCAACATAAGGAAAACAATCCACAAAGAGCATAAGGGAAAGCTAGGAAGCACTAAGAATGTAACTACATGTACGAACACAGAGAAGTACTGGTATGAAGTTCCTACAGCCCTACTCATACTACCCTCACCCCCAAACCCATGTACCAGGCCTATCTGAAAGCTTTAATTACAGCTCCTCCTATCAAGATGTGTTTAAAGAAATACATAAATATAGTCGTCATTCTGACAAATGCTTTTTTCCTCACTACAATAAGTATACAGCACCAGAAGCATTTGCTCTCTCCCAACAGAGATAGTATAAACTTTCACTGTCTTGATTCAAGCATCTATCTACTTACTTTGTGCCATAGTTTAGTCAAAGCAAAGTTTTGGCAGAACTGGAGTGTGAACTTGGGGTCTGGGGCTCGCTAGTCAAACAGTTTACCATTGTGCCATGCCTCCAGCCCATCAAAGGGGATTCTGATTATCTCATTTCCCACATGTCTACAACAAGGTGTTTACTCTATGGTGATGGAACCTGGTGAGCAGGAAGTAGCAGGTGCCCCAGATGCCTTGGTAAGATACATGCATGCCAGAAAGTGGAAAATAAAACATACGAAAATTTTGGTAGCCTACTACCTTAGTAACATTTCTGTGGATCCAATGTGCTGCAGCAAGTAGGGTATCTCCTCCAAAGTGAAAAGTCAATGTGCATTTCCACTAAGAAACAGGCACAATGTGAATCTGGGAGTGGCTATCAAGTCTGGTTGGGTTTGAAGACAGCAAGGCTCTGGTTAGTAATACAGATGAGATACTGGAAGCTCACAACATCCAATGGCAAATAACTGCTTATTAACCACCTTTGGGTGCCAAGTCAGCCTTTTCTCTCAGCCATCTTATTACACGCACAATAGTTTCAAAAACTAAAGGATCACAGTGGTTCAGGCTTGAGATTATACAGATTCCACAGCATGGACTCTCCTCATCAAGGATGTTCCAGCATCCCAATCCAGCAAAATCAATAAATACCTAATCTGCCAGTAGCAGAAACGAATGCCGAAACCTCAATATGGTACCATATACTTATGGAATTATCAAGCCATTAGGTACCAAAGTATGTTGGTCCATTTCATCTTGAAAAGATGAGTAATTCCTCATTCCTCACTTGAACAAGCCTTTTCTTCTTACCATGCTTCTACAGGGAACAATCTTTGTCTTACTAGCCCTATCAGGTGTGTCGTGTCCACATCCCACCTCCCATCCCCCAGTCCTAGGGCATGAACTCTGGGCCTGGGCACTGTCCCTGAGCCTCTTTGTGCTCTACCACTTGAGCAACAGCACCACTCCCCACTTTTTCTGAGTAGTTTATTAGAGATAAGAGTCTCACGGACTTTCCTGCCTGAGCCAGCTTTAAATCAAAATCCTCAGATCTCAGCCTCCTGAGTAGCTAGAATTACAGGTGTAAGCCACCTGTGCTGGGCTCCACATTACTTTTTGACTTATTTTATAACAAAAGAAATTATGAAGATGAGCTCATGAAATTCACTGGCGTTATTGCAAACATGATCAGAAGCAACAGGTTTCATACAATGGGGAAATGGTCTATCAAATTCCCAGTCATTAGTGTAAGATGGTATGTCACTTTGTGAAGTTGGGAGATTTTCCCACACAAAATGCTTTTAATTGAAGTACTCAGTTTACAGAAAAGTAGAGAAACATTCTCACCATGTGTGGAAAATAACTAGCCTATTGAATCCCAGTTAGATAAAGACATTTTGAGGGATTCTGTTTTATATAAGGGGAGTGTATGCTCGGACAGTACCTATTTTTTCCTATAGCAGAACACATGGGCCTAAGAAGCAAGAACTATAGGCTGGAGTGGCAACTCACATCACACAGCTAAGACTCATTTGCAAATTACCAAATTTTATTCTTAAACTAAAGAAAGGCTATGTGTAAGACATTTTAGTACGTGCCTATGAAAAAAACTATTCATTTTTTCCTACTATACAGTATGTCCAATGACACTATCTGGAAGTGTAAATTTCCTTCCTTCAGATACTATTCTTAAACTATAGCTTATTATTTTAGAAAGTATAAAAATTATTTTTTACAGGGAAAAAACTTGTCTTAACTGGATGCTGGTGGCACACACCTATAATCCTAGCTAATCAGGAGGATGAGATCTGAGGATCATGGTTCAAAGCCAACTTGGGGAAAGTGTGTGACACCCTTATCTCCAATTAACTAGCAAAAAGCTGGAAGCTGAGTTCTGGTTGGTAGAGCACCAGCCTTGAGCAAAAAAGCTAAGGACAGCCAAGGCTGGCATCAAAAAACAAACAGACAAAAAGTAACTAAAAGTATCAAAAAGCCTAAGAAGAAGGGGGAAAAATGGAAACAAACGACACATTGTCTTGACATAACTGAAACATAAATAAAATTCTAAGTACTTTGGGGAAGGAAGCAATACCACTAGGAAAAAATTTCAATATGCCATTTAAAACATTCATGAACAAAGTACAGATAAGGTCATGTTTATTAAATTATTACCTAGGATAAAAATAAAAACATGGTTTGAGCCTAAACCCATAATGCTTCCCAGTAAGCATTTCTACTATAGCAATAGCTTATGGCTCATAGGTCTCAGAACACATCATAGTATTTTCTGACTGCATTTCTATCTGCTTCTGCTGCTGCTGCTGCTGCTGCTTCATTTCTTTGGAAAAGCTGTCTATTCCTCATAAGCAAATTACAATGTTACTTACCTCTTCTAGGAACCCTTTACTTATTTCTATCTCATACAACTCTTATTTTCCCAAGAGAAAAAACCATTTCTTAGTTCTTTATAAACACTTGTCTATTACTATATTCATCTGAGTAATATTTTAGGACATGTATGAATTACACAGCAACATGCAAAATTTTCTGGAAAAAACAAATGAGAATCTTTTAACCATACAATAAAAAGGTATCAAGGAGGAAAAAGAAAAAAAGCAGTATACTTGTAAGTGGAAAAAAGTTATGGACTAAACAAGATTGTCTTTAAAGTATTAACAGACTGAATTTTGCTTCTCTTCATAATTTAGCTTGCTCTATCAACCCATTTTATTTATGAATACAAGAAAAGGTCTCAAACAAGATCTGTACAACTCTGCCAGAAGTAACTACAAACTGAAGTTTCTCCCCTATCTTATCTGGCTCCCATTTTATAAATCCAGTATTTACACAAATGCATTTTAATACCAAATATTACAAAGAAGGAAATTCAAATCAGCAGACTTACCAAAATGTCTGATTTTTTGCTCATGTTTCTGCATAAATGATTTTGATTTATCTTCATCTTCTGTTTCTTTTCTTTTATCTTGATTAATAAAACTCTGAAAAAAATTGAGACATTTAAAACCAGACTTTCAAATATTCTAATTGAATCTTCTTTCTCAGATACTGGATGACTAGCAGTCCTATTTTATAGACAATAAAAAATGTGATGTATTATTATTCTATCATTTAACTTGTTTAACTCTTCATTAAAAAAAGATTTATGGGGCTGGGAAGTTGGCTCAGTGGTAGAGTGCTTGCCTTGCATGCCTGAGGCCCTGGGTTTGATTCCTTAGCACCACATAAGCAAAAAGAAAAAAGCCGGAAGTGGCGCTGTGGCTCAAGTGGTAGAGCACTAGCCTTGAGCTGAAGAGCTG